GGCAGGCAGAGGGAGAAACAGGCTCCCCGCTGAGCAAGGAGCCCGATGTGGGACTTGATCCCAGGACCCTGGGATCATGACCTGAGCCAAAGGCAGGCAGACACTTAACCGATGAGCCACCCAGGCATCCTGAAGATAGCTTTATGATATTATATCATCTAATCCTTTATGTTTTAAAGATTTTATTTGTTTATTTGAGAGAGAGAGCACAAGCAGGGGTGGGTAGGGGCATATCTCTTTCCTATGTAGATGCAATGCACTTCATTGGTCTTCTCTTTTCCACACTTCAGAGTGACTTAAGATTCAAATCTGATCAAGTTTTCAATGTCCACCCAATGCCTCTACTACATGGAGATTACATGAGTTGTCTGGGTAAAGGTCTTGTATATTTTTTCTTCTCATGGCCTATTCTCACCTGTTCACCCATCTCTATCCATTCTTCCATCTAGCATTGTATTTGTAAGTGGATACAGATCCACTCACTGGTCAAACGTGCAACATGTTTTCTCCAGCCTCTGTGCCTTTTGTTCTGTTGAAAGTTAATCCTTTAAGTATTAGCGCTTCCTCCAGGAAGCCTTCTTTATTTCTCTTAAGCTGAATTACAAGTTCCTGCCTCTCTGATTTCAGTTTACCTTCTATATACCTCCCTGGAGTGAAATATATAATTGAAATTGTCCCTGTGTTTTTCTATTCCTTCTGAGAATATAAGCTCCTGGAGGTTAAAGGCATCTTCATCTTAGATACCCAATAAATATTTGTTGAATGAAAGAATAGTGGGATGCCAGCATTGTAGCTAGTACATCCATTTGGTCTGTTATTTATTGTGATTTATAACTTTCCTTTTATCATTGATTCAGCACTCATTTATTGTATGTCAATACACAGCAATCACAGTGGGGGGTTCCAGTAAGATTTGATCCTTGCCCTCATGAACCTTATAGGTGAAAATTGGTTCTTCTCAGAGTCATACTTTTAAAAGTAAGATCTAATGTAGGCATTTTTGAACAAAATTGGCAGGGGGGCAGTAATAACCATTTTATGACTCAGTCCACAAAGAGTGGGTATACACTCAATAAAAGTACAAAATTTGGGTGAACTAGGGAAAGTGTTTCTTGAGAGGACGCATTATATTTCTTCTTGGGTAAAAGGACAAAAATTGAGTTTAATATTAATAATTAAAATTTGCTGATAAAGCACAGGGCATGGAGAAAATGTACCCTTTTTGTTTTCTCTTCTAAAGGAGAGGCTAAAACTTACTTATGAAGAAAAGGGTGAGATCCTGGAATCTCAATTGAAGTTTTTGAGGTAAAGTATCATTGTCCATTTAAAAATTATAGCAAAAGCATAATGATCTTAAAATGTATTTGAATGTTTGCTGACATGCCAATTTTACTCAACTTAAGAATTACTTGATGACATTTTATGTTCAATATAAGAAATATCCTCAGGTTATTAAAGGAGCAGGGGCATAAAATTGTGAAGTCCCATTTCAAAAAACTATGAGCTAAATTATAAATTTTATCCCTTCATTAGTTATGAAATATTCATGTTTTGTCATAGAAATTAAGAATCACTAGCTGCTCTGATAGAAATTATGCTTTTAAAATAAAATACTGAAAATAAACATTCTAGTTTTCAAATTACAAGCATTTTTTTTTCTCTATAGGTATTTTTATCTAAAATTATAACAATAATAGTTTGAGTATTTTTCTATATATGATGAATGTGAGTATACTGTCTCCCCTTCTCCATGGGGGATATGTTCCAGGACCCTCAGTGGATGCCTGAAACTGTGGATAGTATTGAACCTTATATATATTGTTTTTTCATGTACGTACATACCTATGGTAAAGTTTAATTTAGTAAGAGATTAGGCACAGTAAGAGATTAGGAGTGGTAACTAAAAATAGAATAGTTATAACAAAATACTGTAATAAGAGTTATGGGAATGTGGTCTCTCAAAATATCTTATTGTCCTGGCTGATCCTCCTGTTTGAGATGATGGGAGATCTAAAATCCCCAGGGGGTGAGATGAAGTAGGGAGGAATGATATTCACATTGTGACGTATTGTTAGGCTACCACTGACCTTCCGATGATCTGTCAGAAGGAGGATCATCTACTGCTGGACCTTGGTTGACCCTGCATAACTCAAATCATGGAAAGTGAAACTGTGGATTGGGGGGGATTTCTGTATACACAATAAGTTTTCATGTACTTTTTGACATGTTTTTTTAGAAGTCCCAATAAAATCTATATATTACAGATTAACCAATTAGTGATTTATTATATACTATGGGCAGAAAAAGATACCAGGAATTGAATTTTTTGGGGTGTTGAAGCTTATTTTAAATAATGGCAGTGAAATATTTTTCAATCAAACAAACTTTGAAATACTTTTTATAATTTTATTAAGTCTAATTTGCAATAAAATTTAGAATCTTCAGGCCACATATTGTTTGGAGACATAAGCAGAATAATAATACCCAGACCCAGAGCTCGTGGCTTTCGTGCTCATTTTTTAATACACTCTTACTCACTTTATACCTTAGCCTGATTAGTTTTAGGATTTCTGTAGAGACTTTTATTTTTTCATGAAGAAACCTAACGTTTAAAAAGTGGCCTAATTTTTGCTTTCTTGCTTTTTTTAATCTAAGTCTTTATTTTGATTTCTGTTGTGTTTTGATTCTTCAGTTTTTGTTTTTGTTTTTTAGAGAGAGAGAGCATGAGCGAGCACGAGTGGGGGAGGGGCAGAGGGAGAGAGAGGATCTTAAGTAGACTCCACGCTGAGTGTGGAGCTGGTCGTGGGGCTCAATCCCACAACCCTGGGATCATGACCTGAGCCAAAGTCAAGAGTCAATTGCTTAACTGGCTGAACCACCCAGACGCCCTGATTCTTCATTTTTTAAACTAATGGCAATGTGATTATTTTGTCTTATTCATAAGTCAAATGTGCCATCTTTAATTACATTAAAATACCACTTTGCAATGAACTAGACTTTGTTCCCTGCACCTTCTACATCTTTCTTTTCCCTTTAGTATACCTTAAGATTATTTAAAGAGGCATTTTCTTTAAGAAAGAGATAAAACCACCATTCTCAGACGCTCTGGCTTTCTGGTATCTATTTCTTTTTTATTTTTTTGCCATTTCGAGTAATCAAATCTACCTAACTGTTTGGAATTTGAAACTGACAGAAATAGTAATGGAGACCCTTTGATTTTGGAATGTGCTTCCAAAGTTCTTTTTACGAAGCCTTTGAAAGTCAGACTTTTTCTATATGATATTTAAAAAGAAAACTTATTACATTGGAGATATTATCTCAGGCATAGGGCAAAAACAGCTCCTTTTTTTTTTTTTTTCACTTCAGACTATCGTTAGCTTAGCTTTTTTAACCCTTAGATTGCCTGCAGATCTTTCTCACCTCCTCAAGGCTGCCTGAAAGCCCCCACATCCCAGAGTGGAGGTAGTGTGTGATAGCCAGGCATCTTATTATTGACCTCTCTTCTGTGATAGCAAGTTAGGATAGCTGTAGCTCTCTGAGTATAATAGAAATTGACAGCAGAGTTGACTGAGCTGGAGATAAAGTGCCTGCTTTCAGTAGTCCAGGTATTTAAGGACTATTTTCTCTTTTGAAAGCTAGGAAGTTTTTATATATATATATAATATACAGTAGGAAAGGAAGTGTGCAAGGAAGCTCAGTTGTCCCAGTTGGCTTTACCAAAGCTTTACTGGGAAGGGGTGGGGGCGAGAATACAACCCATACACTGGTCATTTTATCCTTAAAAAGTCAGCATGGAGAACCTCATCCAGGGACTATCTCATATAGTAAAACAAACAAAGTAAATACACACACATACACACACACACACACTTCCTCAGCCCTTTCTTTTAGCAGACTGCGTATTTCCCGCTAATAGCTGCTGCTTATGAATCTTTATGAATGGTAAATTCTATATAACTTCTTTCTAAAAGAAGAGAGTAGCCCACTTTCTTTTGAAATAGCTCTTTATAGAACTTTGTGATTCAATGATTTTTTAGTTTTTTTCTTCCTAAAGAAGAATGGGCAACAATAAATGACTCACAGATGAAATCCATGAGCTTCTAAGGTACTCTACACATTTTAAGGGTTAACACTTGGAATAGGGTATTTCCTTCAATTCAAGGATGTTGTGTTACGTTGCCTCGCCTTTTTATTAGGAGAAATGACTTAGGATTTGTATTTGGAGTTTTATTTTTGATCGGTGGACGATATAACATAATGGAGATGGATCCTTTGAAAAGAGAGCTGGTATCAAGAGGCAGACTAATCTGTGTTAAAATCTTACAAGAACTTGGGCTAATTATTTAATATATTCAAGTCTCATTTTACTCAAAGTGTCAATTAGGGTAATCACACTTACGTTTCAGGGCTGTGGGAAGAATTAATCAGGTATTGTATACAGAGCACCTCATAAGTTAAGCACTCGTAAGTAGTAGTAGCAGTTATCTGTGGGATGATACAGGTGACGTAGTGTACATGGTCATTCGCTAGAACTTTCTTTCCCTTCTTTTCAGGAAAGACCTAGCTGAATATCAGAAAAATTGTGAAGATCTTAAGGAGCGACTGAAGCATAAAGAGTCTCTTCTCGCTGCTAATATGTCTAACTGTGTTGGTGGCCTTTGTTTGAAATGTGCTCAGCACGAAGCTGTTCTCTCCCAAACCCATAATAATGTTCACATGCAGACCATTGAAAGACTGACTAAGTAAGTACCTTCTCCACACGGAGGCTCCATAACATGGAAAACTGTGTCTTTAAAGGAGCATTGTGTTCTTTCATCCCCGTGCTGTCTCATGTGGGATTGATGCTGAGCTTCAAATAAAATGGATTTTATTTTATCTCACCGGAGCTTTCTTGAAGATGGAACAGGTGGGTTCTGCCAGCTGTGTGTGACCAGGTCACTGGGACAGGTAATTTTACTTCTCTCGGCCTCAGTCTCATCTTGAAGGAGAGAATCGAAGTAGATAATCATTACAATTCTGTTCATGTCTACGAGTCTATAATTGCAAATCCGGCACTATTTGTAACAAAAATGAGTTTGAGAGGAATTCTCTTTTTAAATATTTTTTATTTATTTATTTGAGAGAGAGGACAAGGAGCATGAGTTGGGGGGTGTTGGGAGGAGCGGCAGAGGCAGAGGGAGAAGCAGGCCTCCCGCTGAGCAAGGAGCCCGATGTGGGGCTCGATCCCAGGACCCCAAAATCATGGCCTGAGCCGAAGGCAGACGCTTAACCAATTGAACCACCCAGGCGTCCCTGAGAGGAATTCTCTTGATTTTGCCAAGTCTTGGATTTCCAAGCTGAAGTTTAGGTAGAGTGAATTTTTAATCACATCTTCATCACGTGCCTGCTGTGAGGAATATTGGGAGTGCATCAGAAGAACGACCCTTAGATCCACTATCAATTTTTGAAGATGGACTAAGGACAATTTCCAAATGAGCTTTCATGCAGTCGAAGTTTTCATCTAGGCTGAAATACTACAGTTCTCTATATACATCCTTTTTGTCCTGTCTTCACTGTTCCAGGGAAGCCTTTTCCTGTGAAAAGGTTATCCTGTGGGATTTGAGAATTGTTATTTAATACACCATCCAATGGTGATTTATAGTGTGTGTTCTTCTGTGCCCCCTACTCTTCTGTATGCTGAAGATCACCCCTCTCTGTTTGGACTTATTTAAATAGCCCAGACATCACCGCCTCCAAGAAGTATTCTCTCGCCAACCTCACCCCATCTTGCCCTCAACCGACTTAGGCGCCTTTCTTCTATGATTTTAGAGTAGACTGTGTATACTTGGAGGTGATACCTGTGATGTGTTTATTTCTGTGTCCCTGGCTTCCGGCACAGGACCTGGCCTGCGGTAGACACTCTGAAGGTTTGCTGTTCATAGGACAAGGCATTTTGGCAGTCAGAGTTCCTCCAGTTGGAACTGGTGTAGAGAATGGAAAGATTTAGTCCTTAAAGTCAGACTAATTTTACCCCAGTGTTTTGACCTTTGCACAAATTACTTTACCTCTCTGAATCTGGACTTTTCTTGTTTGAGGGAATAATACCTACATGTTGGGATTTTACTGGAGCACTTAGCCTTGTGGCTAGAGCACAAACTGCCTCGACTCATATTCTGGCTCTCCTAGTAACTGCCCATGTAACCTCGCAAAAGTTACTTAACCTCTCATGCCTCAATTTCCCCATTTTTAAAACGGAGATAAAAGTACCTTAATAGCGTTATTTTGAAGGTTCTTTGAAAGAATACCTATATGGTGCTTAAAACAGTTCCTGCCAAATAATAAATGCTCTATAAATATTAAAACTCCTCTGTACCTCTCCTACTCCAAAAGCAATCAAAATGTCTGGTAGCCATGGTTTCCATACATAACTAACCTATTGGTTGTTATATAGAAACTGAATTTCTCCAGTATGGACTGACTGGTAGTTTTTATGATCTGAGCTGATGGTCCTGCTTTTTGTTAAATACTATATTAATTAAATATATTATTAAATTATTCTTATATATTTCACATAGCTATAAAGTTTATTAAATATATATTAAATATATTTCCAGATCCAACTACCATGTGGCAAACATTTATCATATACCAAGAACTCTGCCAGGCAGTTTAAAAACATAATCTTTTTTTTTTTTTTTTGTATTTTATTTTATTTTTTTTTATTCTTATGTTAATCCCCATACATTACATCATTAGTTCTAGATGAAGTGTTCCATGATTCATTGTTCGTGCACAACACCCAGTGCTCCATGCAGAATGTGCCCTCCTCAATACCCACCACCAGGCCAACCCATCCTCCCACCCCCCTCCCCTCTAGAACCCTCAGTTTGTTTTTCAGAGTCCATCTTCTCTCATGGTTCGTCCACCCCTCCGATTTCCCCCGCTTCATTCTTCCCCTCCCGCTACGTTCTTCTTCTTCTTTTTTTTTCTTAACATATCTTGCATTATTTGTCTCAGAGGTACAGATCTGAGATTCAGCAGTCCTGCACAATTCACAGCGCTTAACAGAGCACGTGCCCTCCCCAGTGTCTATCACCCAGTCACCCCATCCCTCCCACCCCACCCCCCACTCCAACAACACTCAGTTTGTTTCCTGCAATTAAGAATTCCTCATATCAATGAGATCATATGATACCAAAACATAATCTTTTTTAACCTTAGTAAAGCATGTATGAGGTAAATATTACACCCATTTTGCAGCTAGAGATACTGAGACTCAGAGGAATTAAAAATTTGCCTGTTTACATTTGAAAAAAAAAAAGAATAGAACTATACTTCACAAAAACAAATTCAAGATGGTTTAAAGACCCAGATACAATTCAGCCTATAAAAGCATTAAAAGAAAATATAGAAAATTATCTTTATGGCTTTTGGCTAGGTCAAGTCCTGAACATGGTATGGAAAATGAATGCCATAAAGGAAAAAATATATACATTTAACTTCATTAAAAACAAACTTCTTATGATATCATGATACAAATTGAAATTAAAAGACTGGGGAAAATATTTGCATGTTACATAACAAAAAATTGGTGCACTATCTCAAGAACATCCTTTGAAACAGACATGAAAGACAAACTGCCCAGTTGCAATGTGGATAAAGAATAAGAACTGGTGAGCAATCAAATAGGAAGATGTCAATGTATGAGAAGGTATTCACTCTGTTATTATTGAGGGAAATACAGATTTTTCAAAAAACCCTTCAAGTTGGTGAAAATTAAGGAGATTGATAGTGACAAGAATTGGGGAGGCCATGAGTGAGTGAATATTTTCACACACTGCTGGTGGGAACTGTAAGTCGGTATTACTTTGTAGGGTAATTTAGCATTATCCATTCATAGTTGAACTGTGTATTACATGTTTCAAAATCTACCCCAGAGAACCTGTGTATGTGCACAATGGGTCTGTTCTAGGGAATGCTTTTGCAACATTACTTATAATTGGTGTTGTGATAGTGTGATAGGATAAGAAATACATATTTTGGTCTTTATCTCTAGTTCCTGGCACAGAGCTCCTAAAACCCCTGTAATGTCCTAAATGATAAGAACAATAGGAACATCCTTTGTTATATTTGGTTTCTGTCCCCTGCTCCTGAAATAGCTCTGAAACTTCAAGGTGAAAGGAACATCTTTTGTTATTCTTTCAAGCTCCTTTCAGCCACACCTGAGTTTATGTTAATGAGATGACTTTTGGAAACCCACTAAGGATGGGGGAGGCTAGTCACCAAGGGAACCATCCATGTGATTAGAGGATTGGAACTTTCAGCCCCTATTCCCCAATCTCTGGGGAGCAGGCAGGGACTGGAGATTGAGTTCAATCACCAGTGGCTAATGATTTTATCAATCATGCCTAAAGAACTTCCCTAAAAACCCTAAACAATGGAATTTGGAGGGCTTCTGGCTTGGTGAACATATCAAGGTGCTGGAAGGGTGGCACTCCCAGAGAGGGCATGGAAGCTCCACTCTGCTTCCCACACACTTTGCTCTGTGCATCTCTTCCACTTAGCCCTTTGTGACTTGTACCTTTATAGTAAATGGGAAATAGTAAGTAAAGCACTTTCCCGAGTTCTGTGAGCTGTCGTAGCAAATTATCAAGGCTGAGGAAGGGGTCATGAGAACCCCTGACTTATGGCCAGTTGCTCAGAAGTACAGGTGACCATCTGGGACTTGCAGTTGGCACCTAAGGTGGGGGACAGTCTTATGGGACTGAGCACTAACCTGTGGGGTCTGTGCTGACTCCAGGAAATTAATGTCCCAATTGAGTTAGTATCAACTGAGAATTAGAAAATTGCTTGGTGTGGAAAATGCACACATAAGGTGTCAGAAGTGTTGTGAGTACAGAAACTGGAGGAAAAGAAGTGTTTCTTTTAGGTGTGAACAACCTAAATATCCTTCAAAGGTTTAGATAAATTATGTTATGCACAGTAAAAGAAAAAAGAGTGAGGTAGATCTATATGTACTAATGTGGGACTAAGCTCCACAATATGTTGTTGAGGGAAGAAAATAAAGATGAAAAAAACACGTCTGAAATGAAACCCATTTGTATTTTTATTTTTTAAAAAAAGCCCATGCACAGCCATACTATGTATTTTCTCCAGGTTCATACATAGGCACAGAAAAAGGTTTGAAAAAATAAGCACCCAATATTTAACAGGGATTACCCCTGGAGAGGGGGAGGAAGGCACCGAAATCGAAAGTAGGTGTCAAGTGGGTCTTTACCCATGTTGGTAATTACATTTACAAGGAAAATATAATGAAAAATTCATTTAAAAAGGGCAAAAAGCATATTCAAAGTCACACAGATGAAGAGAAACAGAGTTTAACTAAGTGATCTAGCATAGCCAAACCAACAAATAAAAGACAGGGTTTTTTTTCCCCCTATTGCCTTTCATATTATCCTTATAGGTCATGAGAAAAATATTTTAAGAGGAAGCTACAAAGTTTACATTGATTTCAAGGCTGGCAGTCATTTAGAAATTAGATTCTTCCTTGGTTATGTATTCCTTTGTGACTATCCTACATTTTAGCTCTTAGCCTTTTAAAATAAATGTCAGCCTTCTCTGTTCAATTTTCTGCTTTGTCAGCATATCATGAGCTCATGTTCTGCTTTCCTAACAGAGTACAGTGGAAGGCTCCTGCTTTTATTGTCAATGAAACCTTTGTCTATAGGATTCCTTTGGCCTCAGCTGGTGTTCAGCTTCTTTCAACTTATTAATGCAGAAGGCTGAATATTGAGTGTTATGCTGCCTTTGAAGAGTGGCCAGCACTTTTTAGGTCTGGATTTCTAGTTTTCTGCATAATTAGAAGCCTGGACCCTCAGTAAGCTGTATCGTAGAATTTCCTGCAGGACTCTAAGATGGAATTTTAAAAAATTATATCCCAAATATGATGAATCAAAAGAATCTCCTGGCCTCTACTTGAAATGTGGCATTGTGACATGAGCTGTAAGTTCCTTTGTTGAACTTCTAGCACAGACTGTATTGACTATATGACGGGAGTGCCTCGAGCTCTTGAAAGGGACAGGACCGGGCATGACCTCGAGATCAAACCACCAGTATGTTTGTGGTGTTGTGTTAGGACCATAAGGACTTTTTGGAGAGTATACCTAACAACTGTTGATGACATTGGATACATTTTAAAAGTTGCTTTGAAGTCCTCCTAGTGTTTCTGAACTTCTGCCTTTCACTCAGGCCTCATTATGCCTTGAGGTAAGTAAGAGCAATGACAGTGACCTCTCTTTCTTGAGTAATGATCAAAACACCTTCAAAAGATAATCAGGATGGAACTGCTTTGTAATTCGATCCTTTTCTATAGCTCCTAGTGTCTTGGAGAAGTTTCAGAGTACTGTTTAGAAAGGAGAAGTGATTACTACTATACTATCCTGGGACTTTAGTCCAGCTTGTGAATTTTGAGTGGGTCTTGGCAATGTGGTGTATAGTTGGCTTTGAAAGACTATGGCAGGAACTTCCCAGAAACGAGGAACAAGGAAATGTTGTAGTCAGCCCTCTAGACTTGCTTTTAAAAGACAGGAATAATACTAATGATGCTTAATGATGCTTGAAACTGGTACTCACTGTGGAATAGCTCAGAAATTTCAGGCATTTCTTAGACACCTTATCTTTCAAGATGAAGCTCATGCTCATATATCAGACCAACTCACCCTTTTCCTTATTTTAAACATCTGACCCAGATTATTCAGGGACTTTCTCGGCCCTTGTCGCTCTGATTGTTGCACTAAATTCCTTAAATACTCCACACTCATTAGCTGGTTCATCCCAGAACTCGCACCCGCTCCTTGCCTCGACTTGTGCATTGGCTGCTCTTTCAGGGTCTTTTGATCGTGGAATGTGGCAGTGTTGATGCCGTGTTGCTTGCTCTGCTTCGAAAAACTCCTTGATGACACTTAGATGGTGTTCTTGAAGCACTCGCAGACCTTTGGCCATTGCAGATGGTAATTTGGCGAACTGCCACCTCACACTCACACTGGTAGGTCATATGTATTTGTACAGCTTCCCACTGGGAGAGGTGCACTGGGGTCTGGCTCTGGGCTGGGCCTGTGGATTGGGAGCTCTGGAGCAGGCCTGCAGCGGCCCAGGTAGTTCTCCAGGGTGGCCGGGATTGACTGCTCCTGAAGGCCAGATAATGTGGAGTAGGTTGGGGCTGGGGCTAAAAAAGGAGCTAAATCAAGAAGGTGACCTAGGAATGGGACTGGAAGCAAGGCCTCGTGTTGACGGCAGGGCTAACATGCCCAGAGTTGCGTCTGTTTCAAGTGCTTGCTATTTGGATATGGGCTGACCGAGTTGAAACAAAGCAAAACAAAAAATGTAGGGACTGAGTGGATAATCCTAAATTATCAAGATGGCTTCCTGCACCTGTAAGTGTGTGTGCAATTTAAGCATCTCTCTGGAGCTTCCCAGCTGGTCTGAGGGCTGCCTTAAAGCATGGGTACATTTCTCTTCCAGAAAATTGGAGTGTGTCAGTCCAGTGGCCATACAGATGTTTAGTATCATCATTTCATGGGCTCGCTGTTGAATGATGAGGTTAACAAGACATCAGTATTTGGGGGTGTTTATCTTTGATGATTGTCTGTCATCTGAACCTGATGAGCCGATAGTCTGAAAAGTTTTTGAACCAGAACACCTAAACTCTTTAGTCTCCAATTCTAAATAGCCTAGTGACTTTTTAAATCTAGATCCTAAGGTATTAGAACTGGGAGGAGTTTTACTTTACCTCTTTTGATGCCCTCCTATAGCAAAGTCACTACTTGTTCGATTGGTCTTTTGCCCTTTATTCCACTGAGTATCTGCTAATGTGGCAAATGCCTCTCAGCAAGAGGACATACTGAAAAGAGATTAAATATATTAAGTGTTAAGTCTCCTGTAAGAAACAGATTTGTTCGATTTTGATCCTGTTGTGATCTGTCAGCATACTATCAACACTGAGCTTTTCTGTTAATTCTTTTAGTTGGAACCTTGGCTTCAGTGAGGCATGGCATCCCAAAGAGGTCAGAGCATCACTGAATGCTTTCTCAGTCTGACTTACAACTCTAAGAAAGGTGATGGTCTGATGCCCATTTTGACTTGTCCTTAAAGAGCGAATTATTTTCTAGAGTCGTACATTCTAGTTGGACTGCATATTCTCAATGAAGCTAGTACTCTTTTATGTTAGAGCTTTTTTGAAATGCAGATAAGTATAAATTCACTTTGCCTTCAAGTAATCTGTGTTTGACATAACGAGAGTGATTTAACCTTGCTTTGATTCTTCTACTCTTTCACATAATCATTGTGTTTGATTATATTTGATCAAAATAATTAACTCCTTTTTTCATTTCCTTTAGAACAAAAGAAAGAGTAAATTATTTTTCTCAATTCAAAACACACCAGCAAATTCTAAAATGAAGATCACTATGCTCTCATGAATTTTATGATAGTTGAAGCCATTCTTTTTTTTTTTTAAACAAAACGGGCTTTTATGAAACTGCTAATAATTATAACTTTGTTCAGTATTACATATTTCTTAAAATATGAGTGCTTTCCAAATACCACAAATAGTTTAAATTATTTTATCTTTAAGAGATTTTTTTAGGGGTGCCTGGGTGGCTCAATCAATTAAGCGTCTGCCTTCGGCTCAGGCCATGATCCCAGGGTCCTGGGATTGAGCCCCACATCGGGCTCCCTGCTCAGTGGGGAGTCTGCTTCTCCCTCTCCCTCTGCTGCTCCCCCCTGCTTGTGCTCTCTCTCTCTGTCAAATAAATAAATAAAATCTAAAAAAAAATTTTTTTTTAAATCATGTCACTGGTTAATTCTGAAAGCAACTCAAACTCAGATTATAACCTTTGAAATTATTTCTCCTTCAAGGTTGCTAAACTTAAAAAAAAAAAAATCAGAGTTGGCTCTTTCCTGGTAGTTTAGGACTTGGCAAAAAAAAAAAAGGAAACTGCAAGCAGTTACTTGAACTGAATTTGAAACCACAGTTTAGAACTTGAGCTCTTTAACAAAGCATGGGATAGCAGAGAGAGACGTCCAACTTACTTTTTTTTTTTTTTTTTTTGCTTTGTGTGTGTGTAGAAAGTTTCCCACTTCATTTTCTCTTTGGTCTAGTGATCATTTTTATCTAATGGATAAATTCCAAATATTCTAAAATCTTCTACGGGATTTATTTAACTCATGAGATTGGATCTTTGCTAGTTTACATGCCAAAGTGTTTTGGCATCTGGTTGCATCTATCCCTAAGAAATAGTTAGCTTAGAGGACTTCTGAGAATTGCTGACAAGGGTGTGGGGCCAGGCAGCGATCAAACCAGCGGGATGAGATTTTATTAAATCCTGAGTGTTCTCTGCATGACCAGGGCAGTTGAGTGATTCAGCAGTCCTCCCCATTGAAAGAAGAAATGTGTTCATAAGTAGGTGAAAGAATTTAATTGAAAGAGAAGGGTGGAAAAGGGGGCTGTGGAGGAAGACAAACAGGCAAGGACCTATTTGTTCAGACAAACGAGAGGGGTGTCAGTGTAGATAAGACCTTAGTAGCCCCTGAACATGTTAACTTCCACTTTGAGGTAGAGTTCCCGCCTTCTCTGTCTTACTCCTTTTTTCCCCCAGCCCCCCACCCTTCTAATTTTTAAACGAACTTCTTCTTTTCTGGGCTTTACTCTGCAGCCCACAGTGGGGCCGTCCTCCGCATAACAGGTTATTGTCCCACGCAGACGGAGCCCTGCCATGAATGTCCAGCTTTCCTGGCTGCTCTGCCTGGCCCTCGCCAAGGGAGGGCAGAGGGTCTCTCTCCTGGCGTGCTCTACCATGTGCCGAGCCAGCCCCCCCGGCTCGTCTTCCACCGTGTGCGAATGCCTTTCTCTTCCTCACTTATGAATACAGGATCGTTTGACCATGTCTTGTTTCGAATGTTCTTTCTGTGCTGACAGGGAAAGGGATGACTTAATGTCTGCGCTGGTCTCCGTCAGGAGCAGCTTGACAGATGGGCAGCGAAGAGAAGCCAGTGCTTATGAGCAGGTGAAACAGGCTCTGCAGATGACCGAGGAGGCCAACTTCGAGAAAACCAAGGCAAGTCTCAGAAGACCAAAATAAAGGCGCGCCGTAACTGCCCTGTTTTCTTTTCCAAAGTATTTCTGTGGTTATTCTTCCATGACTAAACTCTTTTCTTCCGAACATGCAAAGTGAATGCCAAGCTGTTAATGGTGACTTTGTGAAATGAAACAGATTTCCTGGTATAATTCTTCTTCCTCTGCAAATCTTCCTGTTATATCACTAGTCAGAGAATGTAGTACCACGTGGGAAAGTGCGTGGAGAGATTTGCACACTTCATCTCCTCATTTGCTGATAATTTTGAACGCTGTGAAAACCTTAACACCATTCGTATGAATTCCTGTATGACGACTGACAAATGTTTCTCCCCTGTGCCTGGGAAATGTTGAGAACATCCAGACATGCCACAGATAATAAATAATATATGTGTATTGAATAGCATATTTGGCTATGAATGGGTCTGGATCCATGGATGCTAAGTCACACACATTGAATGATAGTGACAGTAATCATTAGCACTTCATGATCAGGCCGTGTTGCAGGCACTTTGAATCCTAGGAGGTTCTTGTTGATTCATTGCTATGTTTGGGGGCCACACCTCAGCATCAGTATTTTATTAAGGTATGGGGCTCTTCACCCCTATAGTCAGCTCCTTAGTCACTTCCTTGTCCCTTGGTCTCTACCCAGTTCATCCCTGGCTCTTCCCAGACCACTGACCATCATTGCTTCCGTGACTAATGCCCCGATGCCTCTGAAACTTATGTTCATTCTGACCAATTTTGTCTTCCTCAAACACTCCTGGTTGTTCATTTGTACTGAACTCTTGTCCCTTGATGATACCATGACCCTCAAGCCCTCCAGTGAAGGCCCTTTGCCACTCATATCTCATGGGGCTGTGATGGAGGAATGAGCATGCACTCCACTCCTTACTGCCAGTTCCAGGCCTTTCTTCTATCCTCTCCGTTAGTGACCAATCCTCTTTGAAATCATCGTGGTCTCTCTTCTCCCTAATTTTAATCAATATAAACTCTCAATTACTATTTGTCACAGTGTCACTGTTTGACACTGTTTTTCAAAGAAACTCATCCATGTTATCACTTGGGTTTATAAAATAGTTGTTGGCTATTTGACTCTTTTTAAGAGCATTAACATCTGACCCTTTTCCCCCTCATCTTTGTCTGCTCAGGCTGCTAGAACAAAAATACCATAGCCTGACTGGCTTCAACAGCAAACATTTATTTCTCACAGTTCTGAGGGCTGGGGAGTCCAAGATGAAGGCACCAGCAGAGCTGGTGTCTGGTGAGGGCATGCTTCCTGGTTCACAGATGGCAGTCTTCTTGCTGTGTGGCCTCACATGGCCGAGGGGGGGAGGGAGCTCTCTGGGACCTCTTTTATAAGGGCACTAATCCTATTCATGAGGGCTCCATCCTAAGGACCTAATCACCTCCCAAAGGCCAAACATCCTAATACCATCACATTGGGGTTTAGGTTTCAACACATGAATTTTGAAGGGGCACAAACATTCAGTCCACAGAACCCTCCGCCTACCTCCTTTGATCATCCTGAAAGCTTTCTACGTCCATGTTGTTAATACACGCAACACCATGGTCCCAACACACTTGGGCTTGATTACCTCTAACATGTCCCCTCTTCTACGGTAACTGTCACCTGAACCAACGTGTCCGTGGTGTCTCAAACTCTGCATCTGCTACCTCTGACCAGCGCTTCTCTCTGCCTCCCTATCACCATTAAACCTCCTCAGTGTCCTCATTCCTGCCTCTGCTTCTTCAGTCTCCTCTCCTGTCTTGTTTTATCTATTGTGTCCAGGCTGGTCTTCTTCCTCTCCCGTTCCGTTCCGTTCCATTCCATTCCATTTCCTTCCTTCCTTCATTCCTTCCTTCCTGCCTTTATTTATAAAGATTTATTTATTTGAGAGAGAGCGAGCATGCGCGCAAGCTGGGGGGAGGGGCAGAAGGAGAGGGAGAGAGAGAGAGAATCTCAAGCAGACTCCCTGCTGAGCACAGAGCCCAACGCAGGGCTCGATCCCATGATCCTGAGATCACGACCCAAGCCGAAATCAAGAGTCAGATGCTTAACTGACCGCACCACCCAGGCGCCCCCCCTTCCATTTAAATAGGAACTTCACATCCCCAACTGAACTCATGACATTTACTCCCCAACGCTGCTGCGTTCTCTCTGGGACCGCACCTCTGTCCACCACCGTGCCCTGACCCAAAAGCTGGTTGCCATTCTCTCCTTCACGCTGACTTCCCACCAATCACTAAGTACAAATCTTAGTTTCTGAACTCTTCTTGAATTCTTTCCTCACTGTCACCTTTCTAGTTCAGGACACCATTATCTCTGGGTTTATGAATTACAACATCCTCTTCCTTTGCTGCGTTCTCTACACTACCCTGCAGCCAGAAGGGACCTTTCTTCGAGGCAGATTTGATCCTGTGATTCTTCGATTTCCAATCTGTCTGGGATTGCCCACTGCCTCAGGACAGTCTCTAAGCCTTTGGCATACTTCTGAGATCTGGCATGGGCTTCCTTATTACTGTCCTCCAACAGACTCGGCCCCTGTCAGCTTGGAAAGGCAGTCGACTTTAGGGGTTGGGTGAGGTCTTTGTTAGAGTTAGCAGGCCTCGATTCAACTCTCAGCTGCACCATTTCCCCAGCTGGGTGACCTAGGACAGCTTACTTAATTCCCCCGGCCACAGTTTTTCCTCATCGGTAAAATGGAAATAATATCTGACTTAGAGGATTGTTAGTGAGAACTGCATTTTATTTTATTTATATTTTTAAAGATTTTATTTATCTGAGAGAGAGAGAGAGAAAGCGAGTGAGCAGAGCCAGGTGGGGGGGGGCAGTGGCAGAGAGAGAAGCAGGCTTCCAGCTGAGCAGGGAGCCCGACGTGGGGCTCCATCTCAGGACCCTGGGATCATAACCTGAGCTGCAGGCAGATGCTTCACCGACTGAGCCACCCAGGCGCCCCAAGGACTCCATTTTAAAATGTGTATCCGTTATGTTGTAGAAACTCTGGCACAAAGTATTTCCTCAAGAGCTAGCACCTCTGATGGTGACGGCCACTTCTGCCCCGTTTTTGTGCTTCTGTTACAGCCCCTGGGTGTTTGTACCTGCCATGCAAATTCTTCACTCCCCACCTAGATGTTTTCTCCATCTCTCAGGTCTGCTGCTGTCTCTAGAAAATCTCTGGTCTCCCATGCCTAGACTTGATGTACCTCTTATGTGTCTTCATAGAAAGGCTTCTCAGCCTTGGCACTATTGACATTTTGGACTACATAGTTCTTTGTTTTAGACCTTGTACAGCCTGCACATCATAGGATTTTTACCAGCATCCCTGGTCTCTATTCACTAGATGCCGGTAGCATACCTCCTCTTCCCCAAGTTCTGGCAACCAGAGATGTCTCCATATATTGTCAGGGGTTCCCACGGGTGTGTGTGCATGTGTGTGTACATGTGCATGTGCGTGCATGTGTGTACATGCGTGTGTGGGGGCATATGTGCGTGTGTGTGCATGTGTGTGTGCGTGCATGCTGAATTGCCTCCAGCTAAGAACTACTCCCCATTATGTACAGCACTCATCAGTGTATTAGTCTTGCTTATTTGTCTTTATCTTTCATTAAACTTTTATTTATTTATTTATTTATTTAGAGTGTGCATGCACATGGGTGCGGGGGGGGTAGAGGGAGGGGCAGAGGGAGAGAGAGAGAACCCCAAGCAGGCTCCACACTCAGCGGGGAGCCCAACATGGGACTCGATCTCATGACCCTGAGATCATGACCTGAGCCAAAATCAAGACTTAGACGCTTAACTGACTGAACCACCTAGGTGCCCCTTTCATTAGACTTTAAAATCTCTGATAGGAAGGAACTTACCCATCTTGATTACTAGTAAATCTTTAGCATCTTGCATAGTGCTTGGCATGTAATAGGTTCTCAGAAAATATCCTCTAACTAAGGGAATTGTAATCTGTTTTCAGTAACACTCTAGAATTCTTTTATTCTTATCTTTCCAGTTTACCCCCATGGCCAGTGCCCAGCAGAGGCTCAATCACACATTTTTTTTTCCTATTGCTACTTTCAGCCTTTCAAGTGATGCTGAAGAAAGTCACAGAATGAATTCCACGGGAGACTGATACTGGTCATCCTCAGTGGTTAGAAGTACTATTTAGCAGTTCTTTTCTTTGCAGTTGGCCACCTTCTGTACCATAGGAAGGAATTCCACTTTCTGTACGTCCCCAGCTCTGCTGTTAACTCCTCACTCGGTAGCTGACCTGAGTTACTGATGTCACAGCCAACTGACAAGAGCCTCTTCAACATCTTCTCATCTCCCAGACGTGTCCTCTACTCATTTTTCCTTGCTTCTCTGGCCCTCTTACTTCCCAAGATGAAATCTTCTCTAAGTTACTGAAGTCTCCTAGCCATTTGTCATCACATCTTCTTGTATCTTTGGTCCCTCCCTTCCCTCTGTTTCCCTCTTCATCCATCTCCAGCTGTTATTCTTGTTTAAACAAACAACAGGCAGCCTTCATGTGATCAGCTTCCACTTCATCCACTAACTTCTTGCCACCATTTCACCGGCAGACCTTTCAAAATGAGTGTCCACTGTTGCAGCCTTCCGTTCACTTCTGAGCACACTGCAGTCAGGCTTGCAATAAATTGCAGTCTGACTTCATGCTGCTGAATTGCTCACTTAATTAATGGTCACCAGTCACTTCCTGATTACTAAGCCCAGTGATGTCATCTCCGTCTTCATTCGACTCCCGACTCTGCTGTCTTGGAAGCCATTGGCTGTCCTTTCATAACATGTCATCTTTCCCCCTTGATTTATCTGACATTTACTCCCATGGGTTCTTTTTGTATTGCTCTTATCTACTCTTCTCCATCTCTTTTCACTTGTTTTCCACAAGCCTTAGACATAATTAGTAGTTCATAGCCTTCCACCTGCGTTGTCCTCATTTCCAGGAATTTGTCTCTCCTGTCATGTCCAGAACA